GGTTGCAGTTGTTCCCCACACTGTTCTTTGCTCAGTGAGGGAACAGTTTCCAAGATGGACAACTGACTTGTGAGCAACATTTTCTTCCTCTCTTCCTCCGTCTGCTGTTCCCTTTTGAGGGCACTATCATAAAGTGCCCGCATATGCGATTTTTCCGCCTCACTAGTTGCATTCAGTAAGGCCTGTCACTGCACTGAGGTTAGTTGTGGTTGGGCCATTTTTTTACCGTTATCGTCGACAGATGGGTTGGACAGACGCCAACCAGCGAAGGAATCAATCAGACTCGCAAGGGGTACACTCCCCCTTTCGCTTGGATGAACGCTCCATTTCCCAGTCCTTGTCCACTCAAGACGGTCACTTTCCTACTCTTCTCTCTTTCTTCTCTCTCTCTTCCCTTTGGTTACAAATCTCCACAGGCATTGAAAACGAACTCAGAGAAAGAAACAAACCGAAAAGATCAAAGAAAGAGAAGGTGGAACTCCTAGCCGGAGCGAGATCACATTTGGACTAGAGAGCAACCAATAAGAAAAAATAAAAAGAATACATTCAAATGAGATGTCTGATCCAGCGACTCGGCCTGATCAGTCCGAATACGAGATCACTCGGCCTGATCAGTCCGAATACGAGATCCCTTTCGTGAACGTACAGCAAATCAAACAATGAGTGACAACATGCAACAATGGAGAATTGAGTGGTGTACAAGGTGTGAGTCAAGCCATGGACGGTGCAATAAAACCATGCGAAACGTCTCAGTCGAGATCCCCTCGGCAGCGAGTGTCCTAACCAAAAGAATAAACTATGAATCCCAGTCAAAAAGAGAATGAACCATTGTCTAACAGATTTGGGTCCAAGGGGCCCTTCTTGCTTGGGTCCGGTCCCACGTAGGCCGTGACCGAGTCCCAACCAAGAGGAGTCCCACATGGACTGACTTGCTACCTCTACCGTACTAAAAACGAATTCCAACTTTCAAAGAGAACCTACAGACTACGGTCGTTCAAGGATGAAAATACAAAGCACTGTAGAAGGACTCGACAATCAAAGCAAGATACTTCATGTCTCCATCCATCAGGTGAGTAAGTAGTTCATACACTCAAACACACAATCAAGACCGTAGAGGAGTAAGAAAGAAACCCAGAATCACCCCCTCAAGACAAACAATACCATGCACACATACACATGGGCATTTCGTAGGTGCACAACACTTACCTAGGTGGCCTGAGCTTCGAGATGAAGAAAAACTCACCCCCCTCTCATATGGTCCTCCTGACCCATATAACGCTACCCCTATACTATTGTCCTATCTCCTAGGAGGGTCTGACTCCAATCCCAAGTGCAACGCTGGATCCCCCGCCAATGGTGAAGAACAAAGTAGCACTTGCAGTCCGTAGACGCAGATATAGCTGCGTCCCTCAAGCTTGCCTACTTGAGGGGAGCCCTAAAGTCGCCAAGTGTTTCCCTTGAATCAAATTCCAGGTGCGAGTGCCTCTCACTGTCACCTCTCTCAATTTGCCGCATGAAGTCTCATCGAAGTGTCTCGCCACCCCAACTTACTCTCAGACAACCTGGCTAGGTCTCGTGTCGGCCCCAACATGACCTAGCAAGGTGGGGGCAGCTTCCTTGTACCACGCTGCCCCACTGCCCTACACGATCCAGGCTTAACCCTAACTGGTGCCCTCGACTACTTAGGTTAGGGTTAGGGTAGCAGGGTCAACTCTCGCCAGCAAGTAGAATCCGCTTTGATACCAATGTTCCAATCATGGCCAATTTCAAAGTACAAATTAATGAGAAAGCACAATGTCGTCCAATTGCAAAAGAAATGAATGGGCTTGAGAGGAGAGAGAGGGAAAGAAGATGAAGACGAAGAAGGAAAGAAGAAGAAGAAGATGTACACCAGCAAAGACCAATGATAAATCCCTTCTTCTCGCCAACCACTCTCCTCCTCCTTTTCTCTTCCCCTCTTTATTCACAATAAATAATAATAATAATAATAATAATAATGTTGCATGGCTGAACCAGAATCACTGTCCGAATCCCTCGTCTACTGCAGGTGCAACATGAGGTCCACCATAGCCATGGCCGCCCTTCTCCTTCCTCTTCCGAAGGCCGAGGCTATGGCGGACTGCTGGGGCCCTACCCTGCTGTGCAAAAGACAACTCAAAGCAGCTATGGCTGTTCTAGCTAAGAACGCCATGCCTGACTCCTCCTCCACCCCCGTGTTTGGGGGGATGCATGGATGAGCGCATAAGCTTCTTGATGTAGCTCTACCTCAATGGGGGCCTTCCAGATGCAGCGCCCACCAAGGTGATGACGATGGCATCCACCATAGCCAGGTAAGTACCCCTGCTGCTCCCTCTTCCTGGTCCCCTCTTCCTCCTCCTACCCGAGCTCCTCGACCATAGCCAAGGTGGGGAGCTGGGCTACCTTCTTCCCCAGCAGCGCTGCTGACTCCAGTGCTGCTCCAACCAGCGCTCCAACAATGTGTCGCCAAACTTGCAACCGTAGAATGAGGAGGAGCTCTTTGCTCCTCCAGGAGATATAGCGGCCTGCTTGCCTCTTGGGCGGTGACTTCCAGGCCGCGCGGCCTCCAAGCAACTGGTACCTCCTCCCTTTCGGAGGGAAACATCATTGCAGACTCTGATATTGCCCGTACAGGCCCTAGACTCAGACTACATGGACTGGTACCCGCCTAGACCTAGCCTACAACTACCGAACCTCTAAAACTGCTAACTTTTGTCTTCTTCTGCTCGGCCTCGTGTACCCGACACATCTACCGCTACTTGGTGTGATACCGGCCTACCTGCTACTTGAGTGTTTTTCCGATGCTCGAAGTGTCACAGGCCTCAGGTAAGTACCGGCCATTCGGGCCTCCCACACGAACGAGTACACTTGCGGGTCACACACGCACTCAAACCGACAAGCACTCAGACAGGCACACAGACCAGCAAGCACGCAGACACACAGACTTAGAAAACTCAGCAACAAGGGGGAAACTCAGCAAGCCATACATTCCATTGGCAAAACGCAGAAATCAGCTGTGTGTCTCAGTCCGTGTTTGGCAGGTCCTTGCACACCTGTTATTCTTTCTTTCTTTCTTTCTTTCTTTTTTTCTTTCTTTCTTTCTTTGACTGATTGATTGGTTTGAAAATTTTGTTTTATTTGATTGATAGGATTGTTGTGATTGATTGATTTGATTGATTGACTGGTCGATTGACTGATTGATTCACTGGTTGGTTGATCGATTGACCGACTGATTTGATTGTTTGATTGATTGATTGATTGATTGATTGATTGATCGATTTGATTACATGATTGGTTGATTCGATCAACCCTTTGTGCAACGCCGCTGCCACTCTTCTCACTTTCTGGCGGTCAAGACCGCACTGCAAGGAATATGAGCGATAGCGACAGACAGAAACCCAAGTTGCAAAATCACGAAGTAGTCCAGATAGCCATGTACCAAGCAGAAAGCACAATGCACCAAGATTCCATCCACATAAGAGCGATACAAAGAACTCAAGTGCCAATGCCGACACTCCTGGTCACATCAACACTCTAGTCAATGTCGCTCCTACTGTCTGGCGCTCAGCGCCCAGCCTCTACTCAGCCTATCTAGCCTATCTACGTTCAAGCGACTGGATGACACTGAAGTCGAAGACCAATGTACATGATGTCAACACCAATGCTGATCTCCAGCATGCACCAGGTACGTTCTCTGTCCTCCCCTCATCACCCCTTGATCACCTCCTCATGCGCCTCCTACCTGAAGACCACCATCGCCATCACCCGCATTGCGCCCCTGCAGCCCGGCTATGGCTGTTGTGCGCCCGCTGCCTCGCAGCGCCCCTCTCACCTCAGTGCCCGTGCGCGCACCTGACCAACAGTGCCCATGCAGACACTAGCGCAGCAACGCAGCAGCGTGTCCGCATTGCCTGCCAAGGCCAGACTGCCCCTCTCAGTGGGTCACACTTTCCTTTATGGAAAGTGTGTTGCTGCTGGCTGTCCTGGCCAGGCGTGTGGGGGGCCCAGTAGCTTCAGTTGGGCCCCAAGTGTCTGCGCCCAGGCCCAGTTTTCGAAACTGGACTGGGCCTCGTGCGGTTAGGCAGGTCCAGGCAGACACCCAGCCTCCAAGTGTTTGCAGCATTCTCATTGGCTTGCGGCACGTGTGACAACGATGCTGCTTGCTCATTGGCCCATAACCAGTCCGTGATGTGTCAGCCTCACACAGCGTGTGCCCCGAGCGCAGCAGCCTGGCCCTGGGCTCAACTGTACAGCGCAGCCCTTTGCTTCTGGAGAGAGCCTGAAGGCTCACGTTGCTCTGTAACAAACTGGCGTGCTGCAACTGTCTGAGTACCCACATATGGAAAAATTGTCGAGAACAGGCCTCACGTGGATATTGAGGCCCGCCCTCACTTAGGGCGGGCACAAGGCTTCCTGGGGGCCACAGCCCAGTACACTTGTATATCTGATAAGGGCTCCATGAGGCTCATTCCTCGCAGCACAATAAGAAGTCAACAAACTGGAAACAAAAAAAATGAAATGCACACTCACACTTGAGCTTTCCTGGATGTATCTGACCAGGGACAAGGCCCAGATATATTTTAGTAAGTGCTACCGAGTATAGAGTGTGTTCTAACTCGTAGCCAACAAACAAGCTTGTCCTTATGGTCAACTTGGTCGAAGCCAGGTACTACTCTTGCTCTCATGTACAAGCATATCAGTACCTCGTCCAAACCATGGACCAGGTTCGTCGCAAAGTAAAACATACCCGTACACAGTGTGATGTGGTCGTTCACAGGGTCCGGTCGCTTCCATCACCACCGCAGGATTCAGTCTGATTCTGTCTATCCTCTTTCATTTTTCTAGGATTCGTTCTCTATGTGCATGTCATGTTGGGAAGAAAAAGGCGCGAACGGCGGGGGCTGGGGAGTGTTTGTCAGGTCGGGGAGGAGGGGCAGGGAGGGGGAGCGGGAGGGCGGTAAGAAAATAGCTGTCTGAGTCACCTCTCCAGAAAAGTTTTCCGTCGGACTTCCGTTGTCGGAGCTGCCACCACATTCACCAGCATTCCGTCGTCATCTCCATCCTCTCTCTCTCTCTCTCTCTCTCTCTCTCTCTCTCTCTCTCTCTCTCTCTCTCTCTCTCTCTCTCTCTCTCTCTCTCTCTCTCTCTCTCTGTGTGTGTGTGTGTGTGTGTGTGTGTGTGTGTGTGTGTGTGTGTGTGTGTGTGTGTGTGTGTGTGTCGCGCTGGGGCCGACTCCCTGACACTTCCCTGAATTTGTGACACCAAGTGACAAAGTGCAGCTGTCAAGCTCCTCTTGTTCACGAGTGAGACCTGTGACAAGATCAGAGAACAAGATGGCAGATGACAGGAAGGAAAGGAGAAAGATATCACAGAAAGCCAGATGTCACACAGGGACTGGGGAGGAAAGGAGAAGACAGATGTCACAGAAAGACAGATGGCACAGAAAGACATGGCACAGAAACCCAGATGTCACACGGAGACGGGAGGGAAGGAGACAGACATGTCACAGAAAGCCAGATGACACACAGGGACTGGGTAGGAAAGGAGAAAGACAGATGTCACAGAAAGACATGGCACAGAAAGACAGATGTCACACAGAGACAGAGGAGTTAGTTTACATGATTACATTCATCGCTTAGATTCGTGTGAGGATTGAGCCCTCAAGGAGGGGCCTTGCCATGATGTACATGTTCTGGGCTAAGGCCCCAGCAAGCCTAGTGCCCGCCCTAAGTGAAGGCGGGCCAGCAAATCAACAAGAGCCCTCTGTGCAAACATTTCACGAAGTGGGGTCCATACACTTGCAGCACGCCAGTTGGTTGGAGTGCACCGAGTTTCGGATTTCTGCAAATACAGAAATCCCAGGGCCTTTGCAGTTGGTTAGGCCCTGGGCACATAAACGTGAGGCYGACAYTGCATAYTGGAAATAGAGGCCRAAAATGCCAATGAGAAATCGGTCCACWACCTGAATCTGGACGCAGGCCTGGATGAAAGAGGCACAACTGTACTGCGCCGGGCCCCAACTGCATTGGGCCTGGGTACAGGTACTGGGGCCCAGGCGCAGGCTCAGAGGGAGACCGCCCACACGCAACACTGGCATATAGGCAGAGAGGGCGAGTGGGCTGGGATCTTTGGCCAATGCAGGCATTGCCGGCAGGCTGCGYGAATGYGAGCTGCTGCGYGGTGTAAAACTGCGTTGGGCAGAGGGAGGCAGACAGCGCTAATGCGGTGGTGCGTTGTCTGGGCACAGGGCGCTGGCAGCCATAGCCAGGCTGCATGAGGGCGCAGGGGAGGTGAGGGCGAAGGTGGTTCTTCGGAGGTGAAGGGTGCTGTGTGGGATAGCAAGGGAGAGTGTGGGTGAAGAGAGAGGACGTACCTGGTGGAGAGGAGGTCGGCATTGGAGTTGACATCATCACTCGCTGGTCGTCAAGTTGTCTGGTTGCTTCATAGCTGTAGTTGTAGAGATAGGCTGTAGAGTAGGTACGGCGCCTGGCACCATTCAAGAGAGAGAGCTACATTGAGTTATGCTGTTGGTGTTGCCCTGTTGGGCTTGGACATTGACTCACGATTCTTCTGTATCGTTCTCAAATGGATGGTTACTCGGTTCCATTGTGCTAACTGCTCTTGCTTTGACTACTTGGACTTCAGTTTGATTTTGCAATCTGGATTTCTGTGCTTCGTCCATATTCATGTTCCTTGCAATTTGGTATCGGAGCTGGTATGATTCGCCACTAACCTTTGGCGTTATACAGACTTGGTGCGTTGATGATGCTGCTTCGCAGTTGGTTCTTGTGACGTCAAGCCATTGATAGGTGCACGCCCTGGGTAGAGAGGGGTGCGCCGGAAGGCTAAGACGGCAGTGTATGCCGTGGTGACAGGCGGAATGTATGATTGGTGATGAGAGCATGCTGATGTGGCATTAGGCTGAGGTGGCACTGCATTGCGTTGTGGGTGGTACCGAGGCCAAGGACCGGTCATCAAATGCACACTCAGCTCAATTGGTGAGAAATCTGTGGTTGGGGGCAGCTATCTCCAGGTACGTTGTTCCCTTACCTTATCTACCCTCTCAATCTCTTCTTACCGTGAGGAAGTGAGTCCAACTTGAGAGTCCTCTCTTTTGGTGAGGTGTCGTGAGCACGCTACCTTGAGAGACGACAATCTTCCCGGAAGCATCTGAATGGAGCAAGGGCGGTGCCTCTGAAGGGCCCTGGTCAAAGCACTAGGTCACGGTCACCATGCCAACCCAATGGGAGTAGGTCACGCATGCGATGGCTGTTGTCCATTTTGGCACTTGCTGCGCTGAATAGAAGTCCTGCCTAGTGTGCCAGCCTTTTATGAGACGCTTACCAAACCGTCTATAAACATTTCTGGTTGGGGACTTGGTTGATTCTGGCTGTGATCGTCGTCCTGACTGCGACGTTAAATAATTCCTGAAGAGATGGGGGCGCTCTATAAATTCCTCCTGATCAGCCAGATCAACCGGGTGTAAGGCTCGTTCCGTACGAGGGTAAATAAGAGTGGACTGGCTGGCTTGCTCGRCAATGACTTGGGCACAGGGGTGGGCCGAAAAACACACGAAGACAYTGCTCGCTCAATGATGCTWWYCGKTMTGTTGKRTTGAGGGGAGGGTAGGTTCTAATTGGTGCTCAACTGGAAACACAACCATACCCATCAATCATACATCTGCAACATGGTCTTTTGTATTCTTGATTAGTTGGTGGACAGACTGCTAACACCTCACAGACAGATTAGATTAGGACTGTTGTATGCTACCATTGCCAGTTCTGCTGTCGTAAGTGAACCCATCAGGACACACATAGACCATGTTGACAATCTGTTGTGAATGTTGTAGACATGCCACTTGATCGGTACAGTAGGGAACCTGCCGGACACAACGATTTTTAGAAAATTA